ACTCTTTATCAAACTAAGTGATGTAGCATCCTGCTGTGTCCCAAAGCAAGCAGAAATAATGACAGTTTTCAGCTGTTATCTTCAGTGCAAATGGAAATCTGATTAATTCCTCCTCAACTTGTATTAGATAACACAGACAGTCCTAATTTTAGAAAGTGATAAAAGAGCATGGTGCAGTGACCTATAACAACCACTGCAAATCAGCATTCTAAAAGAAACGGGTATATAGCATATCAAGACACAATATTTTTCATGTCACGGAACTCAGGTAGTGTTTTCATATTATAACAATTATCTTCTTTGTACAGATTTTTTGTAACCTGCATATATGTTTTTATTAACTAAATACAGTAACTTGCATTTTATAAAGCTGCTGTAAAATAATTGATTAAAAAGATTAAAACTCCTATATAACAGCATTATCTGTGCACAACCATGGCAGTCTGCACTTGATTAATAATTGATGGTAATTGACAACCATTGAATTATGTTCCTTATGGCCTTCTACATTAGGTGGTGCAGATATACAGTATATGAAATGATCCTCTTGCCACTGTATTTTTTTCCAAACTGATAAATTGTAAAACCTGATCTGCACATTATTACGTCTGTTCACACTTCTTTATTATTTAAACCAAAGTAAATATCTAAACTGAGTGAATGTTGAAAGTGGTCTGACTTCTGTTGAGGTGCGCTTACCTTATACAAAACATTAAGGGCCCATTGACAGATTTGTATGTGTGTTAACGCACACTCTAATATGCATTTCTTGTGCATTGACCCATGTTGCTTTAAAGCATCACATTTATTTTGATTTGCCAATTTACAAAAAAAAATTGTAAAAATTATTTTTGCAATGCACAATGCAGCGCACCGCAAAAACCAGATCATTCAAATGTGTGCATTATAATACGCTGTAGCACAAAAAAGAGTGGGACTTTACAGGCAACTCAAAAACAAATTACTGAGTTAAAACATGTCAATGTCTAGAAGACACACAATGATGTCATAAGTAAAATTCAAGAGACAAAAATATATCATATTGCATGGCTACAATTATTCAAACGATCCAGCCTATTAGGGATAAGAAGTCCTCTTTATCAGTGTGAGAGTATCAGGGCTGGGTGCATGTATTTTATGGCGTCCCCTGTGGATACCAATAGGAGAGGACAGACTCATTCCATGTTTGATATGGCTGCACCTGATCCAAAAAACATACCGTTCTCCTCCAGATACTCACCCCTGATGAAAGAGAGTCATCTGAAACACATTGGGTGTTCTACTGATTATATCCCATTAGGATAAGGAGGACTTCTTATCTCTAATAGGCTGGGTATACTGGATCTTTCAAATAATTGTAGCCACGTAATATGATATAATTTTGTCTCTTGCTTTTTACTTATAACATCATTGTCTGTCTTTTAGACATTGTAATAAAATTTTGTTGTAGGTTACCTCAGTAATTTGTTTTTGAGTTGCCTGTAAAGTCCCACTCTTTTGGGGGCGTGCCACTTACTATAGTACTTGGGGATGTAGGCAACAATCTGGAGGCTTTGGATGGTGATATATTTAGTACACTGTAGCACAGGTCATTTGTTTATTTTGTTTTTATTTACTGTATATGCATTGGGTGTCAATAAATGTAAATGGCAAGGGACATATAGCATGCATTACTATATGTTGCATTGACATGCATTGAAATTGTGATTTAAAAATGCGCTAATTTCTTTATGGGTATATGGGCATGGGAATTCCACAGTGACAAGTGATAGATTTCTGTGCTGCACCCTTTATTCCTATTTCAAAAGCAATTCACCCTACTAAACTACAGGAAATCTATTTTGTAAAAGCTGAACTATTGCTATATCCCATTAGGAATGCTACTTTACTAGCATGAAAAAATGTTATGTCATTGGCAAAACGTAAAGTTGGCTTAGTTATGAAGAAAGGTAAATTAGCCAGTAGCAGAACATAGAGTGTTTACTGTTATTACCAAAGGAATGAATTGAAAGAAAATCTCAAATCTTTAGTTGTCTTCAAAACAGGAATAGAGGGGGCATTTTCCCAATAGGGATGTTCTTTCTGGTGACCCTGGTGATGACTAGGGATGCCCTCACTTTGGATGGGTTTCCTCTCACTTCTTGTTTTGGCTAATAGTATGCAGATGGAAAAAAAACTAATAGGGGTTATAGCCCTCCCTTACTCTATCAAAAATGAAAACGTTTTGCCTATAGTTCTACTTTAAATATCATACATAATGAGCATTTTTAATTATTACATTGAACCAAACCTGTTCTAACATCTACATAATTTATTTACCTGAACACAACTGTTGTTTTTTATTGTACTGTAACATCCATATTAAAATATTAAATATAAAAAGAATGAGCATAACCGTTTTACAAGTTTTTAATAACTTCCAGGAACGTTTTGCTTTTGACGCACTGTATCAGGTTACTTTGAGTGATGTATTTGAAGAATAAAAACTCACTTTAGGTTATTTTTGATTGTATGCATTATTTTTTTTTGTTTACCTAAGAACTAAAAGTAATATTTAACAAATAATAGAAATGTTGAAAATTGATTAATTTGCAATGCCAAGACAAATCCTAGGGGCATACATAATATTTTCAAGGAGCAAAACTTGTTGCTGTCCCTGGAAATCAGTGATCTAGGGATGACTTTAATCCCCTTTGATACTGTGACTGGATATAGATAGCTCTTGGGTGCTTAGTGGTGGATATGTATTATGAAATATGTCTAGGAATGAGGTTCAGGTTTGCTGCTACCATAAGCTTGTGGTGCGAATTCCCAGCTTTTGGTTGAAAACTTTGGCTGCCCAAAAATAAGGAACAACCTATAATGCTCCCCCCCCCGTGTGTAGCCTGTGTCACTGGTTTGCCAAGTCCCAAGAGGCCAATAATTTTAAAAGAAAGGATAAGCAGCCTCCTTTCTATAAAAAAAATGGGCTCACAGCAGCCATATTGTCAATATGTATTATTAGCACTGCTAGGAAAAAGTTGAGAATTCTTTCATGTAATTCTTTTTTTAATTAATTTTCACAGCAGTGTGTGTCCTTAATTGTAGTTCTCATGTCTTTTGTTTGACAAAAGCTTGCTTATTAGCCCTACAAATGGCCAGAATTGGGAAAAAAAAACCCATAGATTTCAATATTGGTTCAATGCAGAGTTTGCAAACTCCAAACATAGAACAAGATTTGCAAAACTGTTCGAGAACCAAACCCAGGCAGATTCAATCACCCCTAAATACAGTTGTGTCCAAAATTATTCAACCCCCAATGCTGTAAAGGGGTTTAGGGACTATAGTGTACATTTGGAATTGTATTCAGAATCAAATCCTACAAGGACGTTGTAACTACCCAAATGCAACTAAAATGACATCAATTTTATGTAATACAGTAGTAAATGGTTCTTATGTGGTTTTCTTCATTGCCACAATTATTCAACCCCTTAAAGACTACCACTCTGAAGAACAGAGGTTCATACAGGTGCTTTCCATCAGGTATTGAAAAACACCTGTGGATGTCACCGAGCAGCAATCAAGCATAATAAGCACCAATTAGGCAGCTTTAAAATGACTGTGATACTCAGCTCCTTCTAGACATTTACTGGTGTGGTTACAAACATGGTGAAGGCAAGAGAATGGTCCAGGAAGACAAGAGAAGAGGTGATTTCTCTTCACAGGAAGGGCAATGGCTATAAGAAGATTGCAAAGATGTTAAACATACCAAGAGACACCTTAGGAAGCATCATTCGCAAATTCAAGGCAAAGGGCACTGTTGAAACGCTACCTGGTCGTGGCAGAAAGAAGATGCTGACTTCGACTGCTGTGCGCTACCTGAAGCGTAGAGTGGAGAGAAGTCCCCGTGTGACTGCTGAGGAACTGAGAAAAGATTTGTCAGATGTGGGTACAGAAGTTTCAGCCCAGACAATAAGACGCACACTGCGTAATGAAGGCCTCCGTGCCAGAACTCCCAGGCGTACCCCCTTGCTGTCTCCAAAGAATAAGAAGAGTCGACTGCAGTATGCCAAAAGCCATGTGGACAAACCACAAAAGTTGTGGGATAGTGTTCTGTGGACTGATGAAACAAAAATTAGAACTGTTTGGGCCCATGGATCAACGCTATGTTTGGAGGAGGAAGAACAAGGCCTATGATGAAAAGAACACCTTGCCTACTGTGAAGCATGGTGGAGGGTCAATCATGCTTTGGGGCTGTTTTGCTTCTGCAGGTACAGGGAAGCTTCAGCGTGTGCAAGGTACCATGAATTCTCTTCAGTACCAGGAGATATTGGATGGAAACGTGATGCAGTCCGTCACACACCTGAGGCTTGGGAGACGTTGGACCTTTCAACAGGACAATGATCCCAAGCATACCTCCAAGTCCACTAGAGCATGGTTGCAGAGGAAAGGCTGGAACATTTTTGGAGTGGCCATCGCAGTCACCAGACTTAAATCCGATTGAGAACCTCTGGTGGGACTTAAAGAAAGCAGTTGCAGTGCGCAAGCCTAAGAATGTGACTGAACTGGAGGCCTTTGCCCATGAAGAATGGCGAAGATACCCGTAGATCGCTGCAAGACACTTGTGTCAAGCTATGCTTCACGTTTTAAAAAGCTGTTATAACTGTAAAAGGATGCTGTACTAAGTACTAAGATTGAATGTCACTTGGGGTTTGAATAAAACTGATAATGCTGTGAGCACAGAAAAGACATTTGTGGTTATTTCATTATAACTGTTATGTTATATTTGTCTGACCTACAAGTGCCTCTTTAATGTAAATGTAAGCAAGATGACTGAATGATCAAAAGCAATGTCAAACTGGCCAAAACACTCAATTTCAGTGGGGGTTGAATAATTTTGGACACAACTGTATATCATCTCAATAAATACATTTTATGTTGTGGTGTTTAATGACTAAATAGCAGCTTTGTACTGTGATAGCTTTTCTTATGTACATGTATTGTCTATCCATTAACTATAGGACAAACCTTACTCGAAAAATTATTTAACCAACAAAGAAATGCACCAGAGAACGCAGAAAAACTTTGCTCTGAAATTCTCACTGTGGGCTTGCTGCTACCTTTCGGTGACTGCTTTCGTGAACAATGCAGCAAAAGTGCAGAACAGATACCTTCCAAAACACAAGTAAGTTTTATAACCTTTATTTTACCATTTCAAAATGATGCATATTACAAATGGTGCAGTATTGAAGAAATGATTCCAAAAAAAGGGTGCAAGTGAAGAAAAAGCTTGATTTGTTTTGATTGTGTAAAAAGAAGTATTTGTGTGAAAACAACTGCTAAAGTAATCCCTTAGCATGCTGAAAGGGATCACTCCAGAAAACCATTAATGTGAAAGATAAAAGTAAAAAAAAATGTAACCACTCCCATACACCCTCAATACATTACATCCTCCCTCCCAATCTCCTTGTCCTCATATTAAGTAAAGTGAAAAGGGTTGCTTGGCATCAGTAGCCTTTATCTTTTCAGTTCCTTTGTATGAAATCTTCATACAAAGGGATTGGTGTTATCCAGTCACCTACTTGACCAACTCTTTTCCACATTTTTAACCACTTGCCCTCTGGAAGGTTTTACCCCTTTCCTGACCAGGCCATTTTTTGCTATGCAGCACTGTGCTATTTTAACTGACAATTGCACGATCATGCAATGCTGTGCTCAAGCAAATTTTATATAATTTTTTTTCACACAAATAGAGCTCTCTTTTGGTGGTATTTTATCACCTCTGGGTTTTTTTATTATACAAATAAAAAAAGACCAACAATTTTGAAAAAAAAACAATATTTTTTACTTTCTGCTTTAAAACATATCCCATAAAATAATCAAAATGTATTCTGCTAGAGCAGGGAATGAAAAAAACAATGAGGTCCCCTGTCACTGAACACAGCTCTGTGTTGTTTATATTCACAGAGCTGTGTTTGGTGAAGCTTGGAGCGTACTAGGTATGTAATCCAGTGCAGGGAGGCTGCTCTAAGTTATGCCGCCGGCAAGCGGTTAAACACTGCATTTGTTTTTGTCATCTGTTGAACCTTATCCTTATGTGAATACCACTAAATAAACCTCTTTTTTTTTGTAATAACTTGAACCTATTTAGACTTTACACATTTTATAAGATTGAATAAAGACACAAGTCCATCCAGTTCATCCAATGTGATCCATTACTTAGTATCACAGTGATAAAAGCTAAATACTATATTATACTATATACAGTATAGTATTATAGTATGTACTATATTATACTATGCATAAATTGACTTATACAAGTTTGAACGGAATGATGTCTCCTACTCCATTTTGACCACATAGCACCACTTAGGCCTCCGAGGTGTCCCCGTAACTGAGGACGGTCTGCTAGGCTGTGGATCATGAAATAAAGCATCGGTTTGCAACTGCTAAGGGGGACTCCAGAAACAATATCACCAGGGCTGAGAGGGAAGCTTTAAGTCCCTGTCCTGATTCCTCCATTGTGATTCGCCCTGCCAACAAGGGGGGTGCAATTGTGATACAGGATGTATCTGATTACCAAATTTATATTTTATTATCCACTGACTCCACTATTCACTTCAAATGCATTATCAATGCCAAACTAAATGAGGGTTATGCCCAGGGAAGGATTACCAGAGAAGAATTCAGATATCTTACTACAGAACATTTGCGATGTCCAGTTATATACACCCTCCCTAAATTCCACAAGGATTCAAAACACCCCCATGGGTTCCCAATTATATCTGCTACAGGATCAGTCTTGCAACCATTAGTGGTATTTGTGGACTACTTCCTGCAGCCCTTTATAAGACATATGTCCTGCTTTTTAAGAGATTCGAGAATGGTTATCAACCCACTCCAGGAACGTGGCCAAATTCCTTCTAACTGTGTGTAGGCTACTTTAGATATTGTCATCCCACACCATGAAGGGATTCAGGCAGCACACAAAGCCCTTATGAAACTGGAACATGTGAAACCAGCTATCTCTTTCATGCTTGAACTTCTGGGCTTTATCCTCAACTTTAATTACTTCAAAATTGATGAAATTCCACCTACAGTGTTACGGGACTGCTATCAGTTCTAAAGTTGCACCCTCTTTTCCCAACATATTTATGCACCAATATCAACACAACATCTTATTGCCTATATTGGCACCACGTGTTATTTTATCATCGCTATATAGATGAGCTCTTGCTCCTTTGGTCTGTAAGTGGTGAGGATTGATGAGCTTAATGATATGTCTACCCCAATCAAGTTGACCCTTATAGCTTCTGATAATTATATCAATATGCCCAGATGCTGAGAGTGAAAAGAAGCAATTCCAACCCTATTACAGCTGAACTACAGCTTGACAAAATAATGGAACAATTTTTTGAACATGGCTACTCAAGAAACTCCTCCACCAACAGAGAAAACGAGTAGCAAAGGCTGAGTCCTTATTCTGTTCCTAGAACAACAAAACCAAATCTTTTTTCATACTTGTTACTCAGGAGAGAGTCATATAGTGAAGGATGTGGTTTATTCCTGTTGGCCAATCATTTATACTGATCAAAGCATTACATTAGCTAATATACCTCTCCCTTTCATGAGTTATCGGAAAGTGAAAAGCTTGAAAGATCTCCTGATGCATACTGAATTACCACCCATTACTAAAACATCCACCTAGCTTAGTCCTGGCAAACCCAGCTGTTACTGCTGTCCAGATTGTACTACATGTCGCCATATGCTGACCGGTAAATTCTTTCTACACCCACAATTGAGCAAATGTGCGTTTATTAAACACAGACTTTCTTGTATCTCAGAATATGTCATATACTTGCTTCACTGTCCCTGCAGTCTGTACTATATAGATAAACCTATCACCTCTTTTAGGGGCATGCCACTTTTTGGAACAAAATCATTCTATACCAACTTTAAGGTGTATGTTGATTGATCATGTCTCGCCCCTACCTGGTGGGGTGAGTGCCATTGCCTGCTGCTACAAAGGGAAAGCTGATGGATCCATGAATTACTAACCTTAGCCCCTAAGGGGCTTAATGAACAGCTAAGCATCAATTGCTTTTTATGATCCTTTGAAACTTCTGGCTGACTACCTATTGGTGATTTTGACATCCTGACTGATGGAGAAATGATGAGCAGAACAGTTAACGGTATATATGCACCCCATGGGGTTCTCACCATCATTCCTCCTCTGCAACTTTGCATAAAATCAGAATCCTCAGGTTTCTTCTTTCTGATTCTGGAGTATTGATTCATATTATGTACATTTGTCTTTGTGCACTGTCAGTGTTTTCTGTGGATCTATTGTGGGTGCTATTCACACTCCTATAGATGTTTACTTTTGGCATGTGTGTGGTGTTTGACCTTTGGGGTTTTTTTTGTGGCTATTTGGGTTTTTTCATTAGTTACTATGTTGTCCTAGCACATCACTTGTTGTTTTATTATTTTTTCATTGTACTTATTATGGATGGTCCATGCCTGTTTGGTGTTTGCCATGTGCTAGGGCAGCCATCTTGTGAGTATTCAATACATGCTTTTTTGTTCCATTTTTTCTGCAATTTATTTTTATGTAGGAACTATTTTTGATAGCTCGATCCCAGCCAGGATTTTGCATATTTTGCTATCTTGAAGAGCTATTGTGATTTACACTTCTTTTGTGATCTTTCTTTGACCTTTTCCCTATATGTGTCTTTTAACTCTTGCACTGTGTGAAGACATTGCTAGGGGGTATTTTTGGTGGGTGGGACTTTGGGTTTATTAGTCTGTTCACTTCCATGTTGCAGTATCTTGAGAAAGATCGACTGAGCTTCATCGAAACATTGACAATAAACAAACTGCTGTTTTTGATTTTTCTCCTCTGCAAGAACCGTGAGTCAAAAATAAATGAATAAAATCTTGCGCGCTTCTACGAATTAAAAAACTTACTTGAAGTGATAATAAAAAATACTGTAGCATAAACAGTGTAGTAGCCGCTATTGCACACAACCCCTATCTCATATAAGGAAAAGTGAAACCAGTGCAGCGCTACAAACCAAAAACAATCTAAATACAAATGTGTTAAAGAAGATCATTTAAATTGAAATAAAAAGTCCAAAAACTTTTCTTCTTTATGGTGCTCCCTTCCTCCTGTGAACACCAAGTGCTTCAAATACAAGAGTGCATAATTCCACCACCAGATGTCTGCTCACTTCCAGCAGTGTGACTTCACATACAATTATGTTTGGTCTAACTGCACTTTTGGTTCCACAATGGACTCTGAAGATTAACTTGATAGCATTCAGCTGTTAACACCTTGTTCAGAATACAACTCTTACCACCAATTCACCTCATAAATAAGAAACTTCACATAGTGTGTAAAACTTTAAAACAATGTATTACCAAAACATACTGTATATCCAAATGCGCACTCACATGTATAAGGTGCCTGACTGCACCAAGTGTATAACACCTCTATTATAGCTCCGCTATCTGGAGAAACTGTGCTATGAGGGGTTAGCTATATTGAATCTGCAGCAGTGTGCCCTCCGATATAATCATCCTTCCATATGCGAAATAACATAAACTGCAGGTGCCGTGTTGCTCACCAGCTTAAAATAGCAATGTATCCTCTGGTCCGTATGAATATGGATCAGTGTGCAATACCACTATAGTAATCGCCGACTCCATATTACGTCGTGACGTCATCCAATGCTCCTCTCCAACCATGAATGATTTGGATTCATATGGATTTCTTTGTGGGTGAACACCTGGGCATTTACTTCAAACTTAGAATGCCGTGGCTACCCTTGGAATGGTTTATACTATATATAATATAAACTATATTATAAAAAACAGTAACTGCTATCATCCTGAAAAAAGTCATGGGATAAAAAGTCTGGTGTGAATAAATATCAGCACTGCAAAAGCTGCAATGAAGTCTATATGCCAAACAGATTTGGTTCAATTTTCACATATGATTAAATATACACAAATCTCACTGACGCTGCCAAATGGATTGGAAGTCTCCCCAGATTTCCAGATGTAAAACCTTAAGGACAGCTTCATATCTCTTCATTGCTATAACGTGTTTGTAAAATGCACAGTAAAACACAATTGCCATTGCGGTGCCATTCATTTTGGATGGCACCCCAACACACCTTGCCA